TTCTTGTGAATTGAGAAACGGCCCAAGACTAAAAGCACTTTCCACACTTTCTGTTAGTAAGTCATAGATTCTGGCTTTTACTGACCTATTGCTACTCTTTCTTTCTCAGCCTCTAAGTTTAAAAGTTGTTGCTTTGATTGGGGAATATTTAAAAAACATTCACTTCTCTTTCATCGTGCTCCATAGTTATGAGGGCTTTGTGCAGTTCTGCTGTGTTTGGTTTTTCTCAAACTTGCTGCAGTAGTTATGTCCAAACATGTCCACTTGGATCTTATGTTGCTCAACCAGTCTCAGGTTCAGTGAAATGAATCTTTGCTAACCTGCTGCCATATTTACTGCAGACAGAAGACCTTTAAATTGCTTCTCATTTCCCGCTCATGATCTTAAGCATTTAGCATGCTAGCTGATAGCTTTGGAGCCTGAGATGGAGCTGCTAGGTTTTTACAAATGTCTCTGAAAACTGCAGGTTTTATGTGATTCCAACATGAGGATGTTTATTGTGCAAAGTTACAAGAGCTCAGCAGGCATCTCTTTGTCATCTGTTACCAGGGTTATAACTGACATGAGTCATTATTAAACTCAGCCTCTGCTCCTGTGGAGAATATTGTTAGTCTGAGCAGGAAAATTAGGTGTTTGACTAATTTCACCAGGTTTACTGTGTGCTTTTTATTTATTTTTTTAATCATTAATGATTTGGTTTGTATCACACCATATTTTCTATTTCAGTGCTTGGTGCTACTAGACAGAACTTACAGAAACATATTTTCTCTGGCTTCAGAAACTCATTGGTTCTCTTAAAAGATCAAAAGCGTTAATGCTGCTCTTTGTTCTTCTTTCCTGCACACACTCAGCCCTCTGGGGAGCTGTGACCTGCACAGCTCTGCACAGACGTGGAGCTGCAGCAGCCTGTGCAGTCTCTGTTATTGTGAACATGCTTTTATAAAGCAGGCAGCAGTATTTAGAAACTCAGCTTGCTTACAGTGCATCGGCTGTTGGTGTGGTTTCATTAGAGGAACCTTTTAAAGTCAGCGAGGTGTTCTGGGGTGGTTTCTCTCGCCCGTCCATCTCCACTACAGAAATCAGGACCTTTCACTGTGTGATAAAAGACTCACTTCAGCCATGAACTGCTACTCCTTCTGTTGACCGAGATGGTCTCACTGATGCTTCAGCCAGGGGCGGATTTAGGAAATTTGGGGCCCTAGGCAAAGACAGGATGGGAGGCCTCTGAATTAAGAAGACAACTCATAAAACAGACCCATTATACAGATACAGAAAATATTAATAGAATAGACGTACATTATTAGTTCTACATTTTGTCCCTCTCCTTTTGTCCCTTTCCCTGCTGATTTCCTCTCTATGTTTTGTACTCAGCTGACTTTTCATGCTTTTTCAAAATCTACTTGCTCTGGAGAGCAGAGTTTGGTGCTTTTATCAGAATCAGAAATACTTTAATAATCCCAGAGGGAAATTACTTGTTGTAATATGTTGTAGCCAAAGTCTCTGCCAGCAGAAAAAGATTTGGCTTTAGGCACTTTTTAAAATTAAAATGCTAGAGGGGTCTGAAAATTTGCTAAATATAGCTACAAAAGTGCTAAGTTTGCAACACTGCTCTTCACACTGCTTGTTTTCAAATGGTTTGCTGCTGTCTGTTTGGACCTTTCTAAACATGTGCAGCAAATGGACTGATCCAATATGGTGGACACTGAATATTAGAAGTGTTCTGATGACATTTTAGCGACATCATTTATTATCAAAAACAGCTAATGTGCACAATTCAGTATTAACCATACATGTAGACAGAGTTTTATGGCAACTGCCTAGTATTGCCTATTGGTCAACCCCCTCCTGGCTTTAGCAGCCCTTTTTGCTCTCTTCACACCAACCAAATCTGTTCTTTTGTTTTGCAGGAATATTTCACAGAAAGATCGCCGAATATCAGAAGAAAAGCGAGAAATCGAAGAAACACTAGCTGACACTTTGGGACTCTGGGTGTAAATATATCTATAAATAGTAGGAGCGTAGATAGGAAAAGATGTGAATATTGCACTGTGTTTTTTTAATTATTTTTAAGTTTGGTTTAATATAATTATTTGTCAAAGTGTGAATTACTGTATGACCGTGGTGCTGCTACTCACAGTGTCAAACACTGGCGTATGGGAAACTTCTGACAGTGAGGTGAATTTTAGACTGTGGCCTCCTTTTGGACGCTAATGAACAGGAAAATCATTTCTTATATAGATTTAATTCAGTCCATGGACCTTCTGATGTGATTTTAATGCTTGAGGAGTTTAGTTTTAGGATGCATCCAATGTTTACTTTCACTGTTGTTACTGTATAGAGTCTCAAATTTTATGTAAAAACTGAATTCTTCAGTGTGTATAAATGAAAATGTTTCTAAAATTCCTTCCAATTAAAAAAATCAGATGAAATAAAACATGGATGGGCTGTTTTTGGTCACTTTTATTCTACAAACATCTCCACATGAACCACACGAGGGACCCTGGGGTGGATGTGCTTTGCCGGGTTTAATTTGAGTGGAAATAGGTTGATTTCCCAGCAGCCAGTGTTTGTAGAAAAAATCATACAGCAACATTCTTCATCTGCAACTTTTACAAACCAAAAATAGCTTTTCAAGGTGTATTACAGTAAAAGTTGTTAAAATGTACACACTCACGGTGCGGTAAGCCTAGCGCCATTCTCCCCGCTTTACAAGCTAAATCAATGGGAACTACTAGACACATCTG